GGATTAAAAATATATTAAATATTATAATATAATTAAATAAACAAGTATATATAATAAAACCTTATATGTTTTACTAGCCTTTTTCCCCTTTTTAGGCTTTTTTTTTATTATTAAAGCTACTAGACTTTTGCTTGCCCTTTTTTTTTAAATTATTAAAAAAACCTTTATTATTTTCTTCCGCGCTCTTAGTGGCGTTATTAGTGGTTTTTAGTAAAGGGGAAGAATAAATTTTAAATCTTATTATAAGGGCCATAATATTAGATAGTTAATAAAATAATAGGGAAATAAGATATTAAGCTATAAGAAATAAAATAAGGGAATTAAAAAAATAAAATAAATAAATTAAAAAAGTTAAAAAAAAGACCAGGAAGTAAATAAAAATTTATTTTTTTAATTTAGCTACCTATATAATATTAATAACATAGTATTATAATAACTATATTAACCTTTTTATTATTTATAAAACACTGCCTATTTACAATTTATTAATACTTAAATTAATAAAAAATAACTTAAAACTTTTATTATTTATTAAAATAGCAATTTTAGCCACTAAAAGTAAAGCTATTTAAAATTAAAATATTAATAAAAAAATATTATTTTAAGCCTTAAGATAACCCCGCATTTAATAATAAATTATTTTAAATAAAAAATTAAATAATTAAATATAAAACTAACCTAAAATAATAGCAAGACATGCTTATTATAGGAATTAAAGCTATTTAAAAATTAGGTTAATTTTAATTAAAAAAGGGCTAAGTTATTACACCTATAAATACTAAGCCTTAATAAAATAAAAAAGCTAATAAAATAAAAGTTATAGTAATATTAACCTGCCATGTAGTGGTATTATTACTATTATTTTAATAATATATTTAAGGCTAATACCCTAGTAAAAAATAATTAGCTAAGAGTTAGTTTTTGTGTATCCTAGGCCTTAAGATCTAATATTAATTCCCTATTAAATAACCTTCTTAGTACTTTGTTTTGTACCTGGTTAGCCTACTTAAGGTTTTCACATTATAATATTAGTTATTTTTTATTTTGTTAAAAAATTAGCTTGAGCTTTTTTATAGTTTTATTTAATATTAATTTTAATAAATACTAGGCCTTATTATAATAATTAAGGTTATAAATTAATAATTTTTAAGGCCTGTAATTAAGCTAGATTTATTATTTTTAAAAATTTTTATTAAAAAAATGAAGCTCTAGTTTTTATATAATGATTATATATTTTAGTTTATTTTCTTATATTATAACTTAGGTAATTTTTTAATAATATTTTAAGGTAAGTTACTACTATTAATTTTACCCTGCTAGTTAGCCTTAATAGAATACTTAAAAAAAACTATTTTAAACTTACTTATTAATTAAATATTAAGTTTAGGCTAACTAAGAAAGTTTAAGTTAATATTTATTATTTTAATTTTTTTAAGTATTATTTTTTTAATAAGGTTTTTTTTAACTTATATTAATTTTTTTAAGGTTTACTTAGGGTTTTTTTTTCCTAAAGGTTTATAATTATTTTTATCTTTTAAATTATAATATGATTAGTTCCTACTATAAATACACAACGCGTTTCCTATTGCAGTAATTCAAGTTCTCCTAAGCTTAGCGCAGTATACAAACGCGACTTACAATTACCCCCTAGTTACTTGACTTACTAGGCTTAAAAAATAACTATTTAACCTATTATATATAGGCCTCACTAGTTAAGCCTTAATTTTATTTAAAATTTAGTAAGCCTTAATTTTTTTTAATAACTAGTTAAAAATCTATTATACTTATTAATTAAGTTTTTTTTATAACTAGTTAGGGACTAGTTAGTCCGCCCCTAGCCTAATTTTATTAATTATTATACCTTTAGCCCCCTATAAGTTTATAATTTAATTGTTTATTATTATTATTACTAGTTTTTAATAACTTTCTTTTATAACCAGGCCTAGTTGCTAGATTTAATAAAAATTTTTTATTTTTTTTTTCTTTCTTATTTCTTCATTTATGTTTAAACTATATTATAGTTATAAATAAAATAAATAAAATAAATAAAATAAATAAAATAAATAAAATAAATAAGGCCTATATATATATATATAATACTTTTATATAATATTTTTATGTAATACTTTTATGTAATATTTTTATATAATAGTTTATAATTTATTCATTTAAATTATTCAAATTATAATTATATTATAAAAATAAAATAACAATTTTACAAAATGAAGTTTTTTAACTTTAATATATATATATATATAAAGGATATTTTAATAATAATTAATATAATATTTTAAGAAATTATAATTTCATTATAAGAATAAAACAAGGGTTTTAATTTTAAATACTTAAATTAAAAAATAAATTTAAAAATAAGCTTAAAAATTAATTTTAATATAAAAAGCTAAAAATTAATTTTAATATTTAAATAAATAATAAAATATTTTTATTTTTATTATAAAAAATCTTAAAATAATATTGAATATATTATTTATTTAAATAAAAATATAAGGTTTTAATTAAAATAATATATTAATTTTTTTGAAAAGTTTAGTTAATAAGAATATATTTAATATATATAAAATTAAATTTTTTTAGAAAGTAATATTCAAATAATACTATATATATTTCTATGAATAAAAATATTATATTTTATAAAAGGCCTTTTTTAAATAATATATTAGCTAATTTTAATATTTTTTCAATTTTTATTATCTTATTTACTTATATAATATAAATTAATTATTATACTTATTTACTTTATATATATTAAATGTTTAGAAAATAAAAATCACTTTTTGATTTAAATATATATAAAAAATAAAGTAATAAAAAATAAATAGCTAGTAATTAACTAAAAACTAGTTCAAAATTAATTATTATATTTTTTTTAAAAAAGCTAATTTTAATTATTTATTAATTTTTCTTAACCTTTTTTACTATAGCTTATAGTTACTTTTTAATAAGTTTTTTTTCTATACCTCCTACGCAGCAGCCATTTTTATATTAATTTTAGTATTAATATAATAAAATATTACAAAAACTTTTAAAAGTTATAAATAAAAAAGCTAACGCATGCTAACTAGTTAGTAAGTGATTAAAAACTAATCAAAAAAACTTATACTTGGCCTTTATTTTTTATAACTTATATAGGATATTATAGGCTTTATAATTATTTTAAAATTGGCTTTATAAGCTTATAAAGCTAGATACTTACCTAGCTTTTAAACTTTAAAATTATTTAGCTAAATTAATTAAAAATTAACTATAAAGTAATCAAAAAACTTACTTATTTATTTTTATTATGGGGCAAGGGGGGCTTAATACTTTTTTAATTATATAAAAAAAGTAACTAGTAAGTAACTAGTAAGTAACTAGTTAGTAACTAGTTAGTAACTAGTTAAAATTAATATAAAAATAACTTATATCTTTTATTTTTTACTTAGCTTAATAAACTTACTAATATAAAATAATTAATAACTAGTTAGTAACTAGTTACTTTACTTATAATTACTTTTTTACTTTATAGTTAACCTAGGTATTATTATTTTTAAAAAAGGTTTAAGTAATACTAGTATATAACTAGTTATTTATTAATTAAAAAGTATTTAGTTTATATATATATCTTAATTTTTTTATTATTATATTATAAATAATTATAATAATAATAAATAACAAGGCGCTTATTAATAGAAATAAAAAAAAATAAAATTTAAAGGTAACTAGTTAATAACTAGTTATAAACTAGTTAAGGCTTAAACTTATATAAAATTTTTAAGTATAGTAATAAAAGTTTTTTAACCTTATTAAAAGTAAGATTTATAATAACGCTAACTAGTTAGTAGCTAGTTACTTATTAATTAAGGGACTTACCTTTTTCAAGGCTAAAAATAAAAGTTAAGTAACTAATATTACTTTTATAATATTTAATTAATTAAAAACTAGTTAAAAATAAGTTATTATTATACTTATATTCTTTATATAGCTTAATTTTTTATATAATTAATATAACTTTTTATAAGTATTTTATACTATTTTATTATTTATTAATAACTAGTTAGTAACTAGTTAAAAATAAGTTATCTATTTATTAATTATATTATAAATTTTATTATTATTTAGGGTTTTTTATTGCGCTTAGTTAAGTAAAAGTTAGGGGTATAAAAATGTTTTTTTTAATATATTTTTTTAATATACCTAATAAGGTTTAACTTTAAGGCATAATTAATTTAAATAAGTTAGTAATTAATTAAGCACTAGTTAAATATTAATTAAATTATTAAAAAAGTAATATATTTAGGGTACTAGCACTAGCATTTTTTAATATAAATTTTAAAAGTTTTAGGCTTGCTATTAATAATATTAATATTAAATTAAATTAAATAATAACTTATTACTAACTAGTTAAGGTATAGTAAACTTATAACCTTAAATTTAAAAAGCCTTAAAATACTAGTAGTATATAATTTTATATATTACTAGTACTTTTTAAGGTTTCTTAATTTTTAATTTTTTATTACCATGCTAAATAACTAGTTAGGAACTAAGTAATAACTAGTAAAAATTAATTAATAAAAATCAAATAATAAAAATTAACCAGTAGAGATTAACTAGTTAGAATTAATTAATAAAAATTAAATAATAAAAATTAACCAGTAAAGATTAACTAGTTAGAATTAACTAGTTAAAATTAACCAGTTAAAATTAATAATTAAAAATAACTAGTTAGGTTAGTATTAGGTAAAAAAGGTAAAAAAAAATTAAAAAAAAGTTAATATAATTTTTAATTAATAACTAGTTTTATATTGCTATAAAGTTAGCTAGTAAAGTTAGCTAGTTATAACTTAGTACCTAGTAAAGTTAAAAAGGTGTAAAAAAATAAAATAACTAACTTATATATTTAGGCTAAATCTTACCCTGCCTACCGCATTAAAACTAGCGTGTCTTAGTAAATACCTAACCCGCGGGCTCTTGTTAACCCCAACTGTGACCTCTTTTGGGATATGTATCTAGCTTCATCTTTGCCAGTAGGGCTCCCAGCAAGGGGCGTGTCGGAGCGTACTATACTAATCGCCCCACTGCACACCTCGTTTAGCCATTAGTCATCTTACAGCGCCTATATAGGCCGCCTCAGCTAGATACACCATATACACATATTCATACTCTACATCTCTGCTTCGACAATTCCCAAAGAAAGTTTGGCAGACTACCCCATTCTCCTTGAGCCGGACCTGAAGCGTGAAAGTGATGTAGCTGGCTATGAATCACTGGCTGTTAAAGCGGCAGAAGCGCCCTATCGGGCTCCGACTCAACAGCCGGATTTCTGTTTCCTCGAGTCACTGCTAGCAGCCAGGGCATCTGCTCTAGAGGATCATCTCTGGGCCCTCCGTGAAGATCCTGAATACTTCGCATCGTACCTTGTCGATGCTGGTGAGCATCAAATTGTACACTTGAAAGACCCCGAGGCAAATGACCACCCTCTACTCTCACAGAAGCTGCGCTGGTGGACTTGCGTCGTTAGTTCTCTGGTGGGAGAGGCATATCTGACTGCGGAGATTGTGTCTGAGGGTGGCAGATTAGCCGACAAGGTAGCGAAACTGCAGAGGAAGTATGCGACGGAGATTGTCCCTTCGAGCGACTTACCCGAGGACTACCTGCAAGCCCTTCTCCAATTCCGTTACTTCCTCGACCGTGTTCCAGATCTACTACAGGGTAGTCTCTGGCACGCATGCCACCCTTCGCCGCCCTTGCGAAGATTTTGGATGCGTGAGCCGTCACGCGGTGGTTCGGAGTCAGTCCATGTCTGGATGAACATGAAAAACGTTAATAACGAAGGTAAAGTCCAGCACCAGGTAGTCTGGTCTCTCACCTTCCTTTCAAAAGATAACCAAGTGTTGGATATCATCAGTACGCGTGTCCTCACTGACGAGCTTGAGAGGCTGCTCCAATCCGAGCCACGCGCACGAGCAATGTTGACTCCGTACGTTGCGGCCATTGTGGGAGACCTGTCACTCCTGGCGCAGTGTGCCAATCAGTTTGATCAATACCAGCCATGGAGTCGGACCTGGGACGATGTGGCGAAGAAGCGGGAGGACGCGTTAGCGGCCGAGTACAGCAAGCGTTTCAAAGCATATTCGCGATACGCCGACTCTCTTTCAGATGACAGCTTGACCGACGCCGGCGCAATTTGCGATCCATCCGGTGGCAAATTTTACTATCCGTTTGAAAAGCGACGCACCAAAGAAACCGTCGACGCCCTACGCAGCGCTGAACGCAAACTGGACGCCGTCTGGGCCGCCATCGATCGTTCTTTGTGCACCAAGTCTGGCAACTTGCGTGGCACTGCCGCAGGGAAGCTCCTCTCCCTGCAGAACATCCTTCGCCGTACACCCGAATGGGAGGGCGCTGGGTCTGAAAACACGCGTTCAATCCCATCCGCTAAACGTGGGCTCCATAACACTTATCATCCCATGTCAGCGATTTACACCAAGCTGCGCGGCAATGCATTTGTCCTTTCCCAGCTTAACGAACAGGCGCGTAACGCACCGCAGCCATTCGGCACCGTCGGCAAGTCCGAAGAATCATCTGCGGCTCCTCTTTTCGCCGTCGATGCCCGCGCCCTCAAGGTGTTCCGCACCCTGTTTTCCAATCCCGTCGTCACCACTACGCCTGCTGAGGTCACTTGGAACGATTTCTTCCACGCGATGACCTCCGTGGGCTTTGCTGCGTTGAAGATGCATTGCTCCACGTGGCACTTCACGCCGACAAAGCCGAGGATCAGCGCGGATCGAAGCATCCAGTTCACTGAATTCACCGGCAAGCTGTCTGCTACAGCCATCCGTGTCTTTGGCCGCAGGCTTAACCGTGCGTCTGGATGGGATGGGGGCATGTTTGGCTTGGATGAGAAGTAAATTCTAGGCATCCAAGTCACGGTGATCAAACAACACACAGGCTTTCTTTCCCTGCTGCACACGTTTTCCGGTCGTTTTCTTGCTTACGTTTTTCGCTCATTGTTTCCTCTTTATTGACCCTCGTCTCGTTCATGGGGACGTTGCTTCCCTCGTGTGTCTTCTTGCGGTCTTTCAGCAATGTACGAGTACTGTCCAGTTTCCTTCTCGAGTCTTCCCCGTGCTCCAGCAATTGCTGAGTCTGGCGGGCAACCGGTTCGACCTGTAATGCCATGTACGATGTTATGATCTCGACGAGTCATGTTTACAGATTCAATGCAGCTTCACTTTCTCTACTCCTCTATTACTTCCTCTTATTTCCTCGCACCTGGATTGAGACGGCTGGCGACTAGTCTGGCTTGGTACTGAAAGGCGGGTCGAGAAATATGGGTACGTCAACATTTACAGATATCAGACTTTCACTAACCAGTCTATCTCTATTGAACATCGGTCCGGCTTTTGTAGCTCGTCGAGATTACTCCCGAAAATACGCCACTTGACGCGAAGTGGCTTTCAATCAAGCAAAAGATGCGCACGATCCAGATAATCCGCGACACCCACGCAGAGATGCAGAGATTGCGTACCCCACAACTGATGGTCCCATCTCCGGACATGCTTACGGTTTCAAAGAGTTGGCTATTTGTGTAGGAACTCACTCACAGTTTCTGCAGAGAACCTGGCTTCTGCTCACCTTTGTTTCCCACACAGCTTCCAGATGTTTTCAACGAACTCCCGAACAGTACCTCGCAACAATTGCGGTTAATTGCTGTTTGTTTCGGCTTCAAATTCGCTGTGAGTGCACTTTTCGACATTGCTAAGCCTCTCTGGGGTCTTGTCTTGGTGCTCGTATCAGCGTTCATGCTATACGGTACTCGACTTGGCACCCGGTATACCTACGTGTGCTGTCTCACACATCCCATGACTGATTGGAGGTATAATTAAGCTAAGTTGGGCCAGTCTCAGAGTATATCCATCTTCTCTGCCCTCCAACGGGTCGTCATTGATCCGTCCAGGCAGCCTCAGCCTGGTTCGACGAGGCGGCCCTCGTTGTCGGAACCCAGATTTCCACCTTCAAGCCCTCCGACCTGCTCGGGCAGCAACAAGAGGATATTTGAAAAGCCCACATTCATGACTTCCCGGGTATCTGATACCGCTCGATTGAGTGTCTCCCCAGTATTTACCTATACGCTCACTTAAACTCTACATTTCGTATTTTCCCCAGGCCAATTGTGTCCTGCTATGTTCCAGACTGGGGCATGAAAAGTACTAGTCCCCGCTACGTCTTCATGGCAGCTTACTCGTTCATCTCCCCGGCCATGTGTCTGATCATTGTGGTTCCCTCCAACGTGAGAATTGCCGGCGACAAACATCACCGGACGACAAATAAAGTGATCCTTACGGTGAATATATCCTGAATAACATGGGCTCTCCTGTTACGGTAAGTGATGTTTCCGAAATTGGTGACAGCCATCTGGATAAAACAGATCACGAGAACTTGAGGTTTGTTGGTCTGATGTGAAGAACGTCTCTCGGCCTCTCAGTGTTGGTTTTTGGACACTTCGAATTCCACCTAAACCTCCAGCAGCAACTCAATTGCCTTCGAAGATATCGCCATCGCATTTGCAGGTCGTGGAGTTTAATGTTTACCCGGGAACCTCGCCGTCGGTGACTGTGGAGCCGGTGGGTCATTCTTCAGGACTGACTTAGGGCTTGCTCCCTCCACTTTGTTCGAACAGTTGACGGCCCCAGCTTTTCAAGATGAGCTTTCCCAGGTGTCTTGTCCTATCACTCTTAGGATGCGCAACCAGGAGAGAAATCCCCACACTTGTCCCCCAATTTCAGCGTCTTTGGTCAAACTTTCCATCACCGCCATTTCGTAGGCCTCGACCTGGGCCTTTGGTGGCGTCAAGAAGCGAACACTAGCGGCCCCCGTGGAAGGTCCCAGAATTTTTGCATATATACCGCCATGTTTCCGGAAAATTGTGGCCAAAGAATTGTTGCGTGGACGAAATGAGCGCGTAATAACGCTCGATTTCAACGTCGAAACGCAGCTCGGCAACTGTCGGATAGCAACCGTCCGCACGATGTTGAAAGAACCCAAGGGCGTCGATGTCGTCGAGCTTCCGCCACACCAGCACGTCCAGGACGGGAAGCGTTACCGGGAACCTCTCATCTACGCAGCTCACGCGGCAAGATGGTTGTCTAACATCTACTTTTTGACCCGCCTGGGACTACTCGGCGCAGTCCAGCAGTCATGGCACCTCTGGTTGATGATAATCGTTGAGTGGATTTTAGCCCGTATGTCTCTGTACTCTACTATGTTGTCCTAGAACTTTGCTAATGATGACCATGGATAAAGACGGCTTCCGTCAGAACTATCTCTCCACCATCGCCGCCGGTAATAAAGCGAAGTCACCGAGAGCGCGACTTCGACTACGGGGCAATTCACAGGACTTGCCCCGGGTCGATATCTTCGTCGCCACTTGCGGCGAGCCATTGGATGTTGTCCTCGACACCATCCGCGCAGCCTGTACGCTGGATTACCCAGCCTCACGATTCCGCGTTCTGGTCCTCGACGACGGCGGATCAGTCATGCTCAAAGGGGCAGTCGAAGAGCTGACCTTGACCAGCTATCCGAATCTTTCTTACAATACCCGGACCTCAGCATCCAGCGCCAACGAGAAGGGCCAGGTTTTCGCCAAATCCGCGAACCTGAACTACGCCCTCTTCACCCTACAGGAAGACCCAGCGTTCCAGCCGCAAGCGGGATACTGCGCCGTCCTGGACGCAGACTGCATGCCCTCCCCGGACTTTCTCCGAGGGACAATCCCGCATCTCCTCCTCAACCCGCAGGCCGCGCTCGTCACGACCCGGCAGTACTACTACAACTTGCCTCGTGACGACCCACTCTCGCAATCCCGCCTGCATTTCTACGCATGCCAGAATGCAGAACTCGATTCCCGAAATCGCGCCATTGACGCCGGGTCCGGCGCGCTCTTCCGACGGCAGGCGATCGTTGATGTAGGCGGATACCCGACGTACTCGTTTTCCGAGGATTGGCAGCTCTCGCTTATTCTTCGTGCTAAAGGGCATCAGGTCCTGCAGGTTGAAGAACCGTTGCAGTGGGGTACAGTCCCGGGTTCACTAAAAGGGCACATTGCGCAGCGGAATCGCTGGAATATTGGGCATGCGCAGCAAATCAAGCTGCTTCTACCATGGGTACGGGGAGAGTTGGAAATGGAGGGCAGGCTGGGGTGGGACATTGGTATGAACGGAGTCGGGATTGTGGGTGGCTTGGTTGGGTGTCTTTTTGTGCAATGGGCTGCTCCTGTGCTGCTGCTCGCTCTGGGACTGGGACTGGGTCAGGGACGGTCTGTTGTTCCTGTTTCTGCGGATGCACGCTGGGTGAACACACTCCAGCTCAGCCTGGCAATAGCGCACATCGCCTCGATCTGGCTTTATGGCTGGTTGCAGATGGCCGCCACTGGATTTCGGGTCTCGCTTTTCCCTCATCTGGAGAATATTTGGCTTGCTGGACGTGAGTTCTCTCCTTTCCCTCTGTTTCTCCATATATTCTCCTGCGCGTTGAGCTGCAGAATCTAACACAATCACACAGAGCATCTACTCGCAATCATCAAATTCTACTGCGTCACCAGCAAACCTAAAGAGGGCTCTTTCGTCACCGGAAGCACAGCGAACTCATGGAATCAGAATCAGAATCAGAAGGAAGACGCTGTTGGCGAACCCATTCCTGCGCCTGACTCCTCGGTCTCATCCTGCCAAACGTTCCTACGGCGCGATCTGCTGGCCCATGGCGCCGTCCTCACTACAATCCTCTGGCTCCTCATCACGGCAAGCGCAATTGTCCTCTGTATATCCAGGTCTTGGCGCGGTAGTTATCGTTATGATGAGCGAGCTGATATCCTCAGTCTCAAAGGCATATTCTACCCGTCCTTCGTGCATGTCCTGTACCTCGTCATCACGAATGCCTGGGTAGCGGTGTCTTGTCTTGTCAACCCGCCGGTGTATCCTGACCGGGATGAGAGATTGGAAGAGACGAAGGAGGGTACCAGATTTCCTAGGCTCCATGTGCGCAAGGAGGTTGTGGGTTCTACATTTGGGCGCCCGGTGTATTCTGCGATTGCTGGGGCTGCGATGTTTCTGCTATGCGGGGCCCTGGTGGCGGTCGTATTGTTGTAAAGGTAGAGTTGTCGCGCACAGCGAGCGCGTGGGAGACTTCAGTAGATGATGGAGATGTTGCTAGACGGGAGTATGTCTAGTTTTGGCCTTTCCGGGTCGCAAAGCAGCCTATCTACACATACCTGAAGATCTGTAGCAAAGGCTGTAGCAAAGGCCCAATACGGAATATAGAGCCATGGGTATTTAGCCTACCCGTTACCCTTAGATCTGGTTGCCATGGATACAGAAGCCTCAAGCGAACGTCCGGGAAATCACAACTTCACCTTCACACCCGCAATCCAATCAATCTCATCCTTCAAATGCCGGTACGCCCTGAGGTCCCCCGAGCGCGCATGGGCCTCAAAGTTCTCAGCCCTAGCTGCACGTCCACAGAGACGCCCTAGTTCGCCGCTCGCGGTCTCGTCCTTTACTTCCTGGTATGTCACCGTGCGCAGGAACTTGCCGATCCAGAGGCCCCCGGTGTATCGGGCTGCTTTGCGGGTGGGCAGGACGTGGTTCGTTCCGATTACCTGCACCTCATAGTCAGCCATCTCGTCCTGTGGCAATGACGGACTGGGTTGTGAGGGCTGAAATGGGAGACAGACCTTATCACCGTATGAGACACAGGTATTCTCACCCAGGAACAGCGCACCGTAGGCTGTCATGTTCTCGAGGGCGTCGCGCGGCCTCTTCGTGAAAATCTGGACATGCTCACTCGCGTACTCGTCTGCCAGCTTCCAGGCCTCTTGCATTGTGTCGACGAGGATGACCTCGCCATGGTGTTTCCACGAGACGCTCGCAACGTCCGCCGTACTCAGATCCGAATGGTTCAGCAAATGATCAATGATTCGGATCGCCTCTCTTCCAACTCGCGCTGAGGTGGTGATGACCACAGCCGGCGAGTCCGGCCCATGCTCCGCCTGCGAGATAACATCCGTCGCAACAGTGAACGGATCTGCAGTCTCATCCGCTACAATCAGTATCTCGGTCGGACCAGCAAACAGGTCGATTCCGATTTCGCCGAATAGCTGGCGCTTCCCTTCTGCTACGAAGGCATTTCCAGGGCCCGCGATGAAGTCCACTTTGCGGATGCTGTCAGTGCCCACGGCCATTGCGGCGATGGCTTGTACGCCGCCGAGTATGTGGATCTCGTCTGCGCCCGCGAAATGCATCGCGGCGACTGTAGCGTGCGGGATTTTGCCGTTTATCGGGGGTGTACAACCGATTACGTGCGGGACGCCGGCGACTTTCGCGGTGAGGATTGTCATGTGTGCGGAGGCGAGAAGGGGGTAGCGGCCACCGGGGATGTACCTTCGAATTGGTTAGTTTTGGCCATGAAGTTGACATCGTCATAGCTGAATGGAGAACTTACGCGCCAACGGTCCTGATAGGTAAGTTCTTTTGTCCAAGGATAACTCCCTGCAAGGCCGTCAAAACAGGGACAGCCCTTAAGTTTGGTCGGAAACACTCACCGGCTGAATTTCAAACTCAAAGTCCTTCAAGGACTCTTTCTGAGCTTGAGCAAATGCCTGAACATTGTTCTGCACGGTCTTGATGTCCTCGATTGTTTGCTTGGAGCACTGCGCGATCGACACCTCAATCTCGGCTTGCGAAAGCTTGAACGAGGCCGGAGACCACTTGTCGAACTTTTCGGAGTATTTGCGCACCGCGATGTCGCCATTTTCCCGTACGTCATCGATCATGCCGCTGACGATAAAGCTCACGTCGATGGGCTTCTGATTCGCGGCGGGGGATTGTTTGGATTTGAGGAATGTGGTAGGCATCTTGGATTGTCTCGGTGGGTACGGTAGGGCTCTTTCAGATGAGTAGATCGTCAGCAATTGAGCTTCGAGGTTGAGTCTGCCTCTTTCTATAAATGAATTTTCATACCTGACTTGAATGATGCGGGGGACTCCGCATCTGTCGGCTCCATCCCGGAAGCACACAGTTACGGCGGGCAAGGGATCACTCTGGTCGGCACGAAATCCGAACCCCAAGAGCTTCAAATGTACCCCGCAGCAGATATCGGACTTGTCTGGGTGTCCCCTACAAAGCAATCTAATACTCTGATCACTGCCGTAGGAATGGGAATCATCGACGGGAAGGATCCGGGGTTAGTAGTCCACTGGGACCACATCCGGGACGGCACCGCGGGGTCCCACATTCGAGGTCGGCCGCGCAGGAATCAGGATCCGATACTGGGGTTTCTGCATTCGTCGTCCTCGAGCTCAACAATGGAAAGTCCGTCGGTCGCGTATGTTGTACCTAGGTAGCCGAGGGAGAATCAAAGAGGGCGCCGTTGCGGGCCTTCCGAGAGCGAGACTTCGGAATCCACCCGCTCTGCAGATCCAGCGAGAGGAGTACGGTGTAGTGGACAATACCAATTGCGGTACATCGTATGTGAAATATTGAAATCAACTGAATAATAACAGCCTGGGACCATTGAGCGTGCAGATTTGCGCGGCCGCACCGTCGAAGCTTGGTAGATGGTTGGAACCTTCCCCGGAAACGTGCGGGGACGACGGGAGTCGATTACTCAGGACGTCACGTGGGACTCATGGCATTTGGCCCTCTTGTGTCGAGCGAGGGCATTTATCTCCTCAGTCGCGATTGAAGTAAACTAACAGGTGGTAGGTATGCGTGTCTTGGATCGTGCTAGTACAAGACAGTTTTACGGTGCTTCATTGCATGTGGAGCTTCATAGACAACAATTACGCGTGGATATATATTCTCGTGCAGCCTTCGCCCAACGGATAAGAAAACATACGGAAGCACCATTTTAGACAACGCAAAACGTCATTCCGGATTTACTACTAATCGCAGGTTCAACCACAGTACACAAACAACTAATCTTGAAAGAGAGCAGAAAAGTATATGATAAGGCAATCCGCATCCGAAATTTGGTCACCGCGCTTAATGAAGAGGATGCCTTGCCGAGCCTCTGGTCTCCCTGAGTTCCGGGCCCCCGACCGTCTTTTCCACACAGTCACAAACACCACCATCTTCCCATCATCAGGCTACGCGCCGCTGCTTCTTGAGCATTACTTCATCATCGAAAGTTCTGCTGCAGAGCACGAATATGTCCGTTCTTTGGCATCTAATGCCCCCAATTGGATCGGTCATTCCTCTCTTCAGGACTTGGTTACGAGATTCCGCGCCAAATTGAAGATGATCCGCCGTGACTCCCTGACATCAGCTTTGTTATGGCCGTGATGATCCTTCAGCGACTCAGTCGGCCTCTCCAGAACAGACCAAATCTCAATGAATTTGTCGTTTGGAACCCGACCGGCACCGAGTTTCTGGAACGCCTGCTTCATATCCTTGATGTCCTGCAGTTTTTTCACGTCGGTGAAGTCCAAACCGTCGGTCTGGTTTTCATCTTGGGAGTATTTGGCACCGATAATCGCAAACCACAGTACCAATGCTGCAAGCCCCGCTGCTAAGGCCGTCGAGACTGAAGAGCCGGTGAAGGCGATATTATCTTCGAGGATCCGGAGTTTGATGCCCCGCTTGTTGGCCCGCACAACGTCAACACCCGGGAAAAGGTAATGGACTTGGTTTACCGGAACCCGACTATACGGATGTCCATCGGCCTGAGAAGCTCCAATACGGAAGAACTTGTGAGAACCCCATGCGGCGGGGTAATGGTCGCCCGAGTATTGACCTTCGTCTGCTGAGGCACAAAACATCAGGATGCCTTTATCTTCGGCCTTTCCCAACGCCGCATCGAACGCAATTTTCTCTTCTTTGTTCGGTTGTTCGACTGCCCAAGACATGCAATGACTTGCACTTCATTTCGGACGGCGGCCTCGATGCCCTAGATGGCGTGGTATGTCAAATTAGTTCCGACTCAAGGAGCGACGGCTGGGCTACAAAACGGGCACATACTTGAATTGCGGAGACGGTTCGAATCTCCATGTGTTTCTTTTTGGGGGTTCGGAACGTGTCTAGCTTGATAGGGTAGATTCTGGCCATCGGGCAGACGCGAAGTATCATGTGGGCCATGACAGTACCGTGCCCCAGCTCTGATACATACCACTGCTTTTCGCGTCGATTGCCGTGCTGACAATAAGCAAAACTCTTGCCGTGCATTATTTTCTCACAAAATTCTTTTTCGCAGAAGTCGACTCCGTCATCGATCAGGGCCACCCTTACTTCGTCCCCCTTGTGAGAATTCATGCGGAGACTTGTCATCAGTGTTCGCAGCTTGTCGTTGAAAGTGTCAATGCTTTCTAGCCACTTATGCACTGTGATCGTCGACTGGCCTGGGGCCACCACTGGGGAAGCTATTGCCCCGGCCTCTCGAAAGGTCTCACCGGTCTGACTTTGACGTATTGAAACTCTAATTCGAGTCTTCGGTATGTTCAATGGTTGTTCAACCTGATCTGCTTCTCTTGTAATTGTTGGAACGAGAATTGATTCTTTGTCTTCCAGGTCACCATCCTTTGCCAACGCCGAGACTGATGCGGGCATCTCAAAACGTGCTTTGAATCTTTCGACTTTGGCCGGTGAGCAATCAGAGGCCTGTGGGACACGAGCTTGGTCAGTACGGATACAGATGGTTCGAGGATAAGCCATCTGCAAATACCTCGTTGTAATACAAATAAACGTGCTCTAAGTTTTTGAGAGCTCGAAGCCCCTCTGGCTCGCCCCACGCCCTTAGGATTGCGTTGTTTCCGCCCCAGCGCAGATGCAACTCTCTGACATCTGGAAAAGCATTGCAAAGCATTTCAGGATCCAAATCAGGCTTCAACCAGTCCAAAACATCAACACGGAATCCAGTGAGGCAGGCTTCAATTACCTCGTCATCGTGCGGATCGACGAAGTCGTGGACAGTGAGGTTGATGATGTGCTTCACTTTCTTGTCCTTGAGCCATGCAAAAAAGAAAAGAAGGTCTTTGCGCCCACCGGATTTGGATTGCAAGAGGTCCTTGTGTCGCTGGAAAGTCTCACCACGTGGGATTTCTGTCTTCCACAACCGGACAGGGGGAAATTCCACGTATTGCAGCACTTCGTCAAAGCGAGTGTCCTTAAAGTTGTCATAAAAGGTGACCGCGTCTGCATTCTCTGTCGGAAGACCGTTGTAATCAAAGTAGAGCTGTATTCCTGTGGTGCATGAGGCAAAGGGCACTTGGTACAGAATGGGCATCCAGGGACGTACCTTCCTTGTTGGATCCGTACAGAAAGCGCTCTGCCTGGGCAATGGACCTGGTTCGCAGGCAATGCAACTTCAATTCCTCCCTTATCTGCCCTAACCACAGCTCTCGTCTCTCCGCTTCCTTGCTACTGGAATTCTTCGAGCTTTTCTTTCTGCTGTCAGCCGAGTGTTTGAGCTTCGCTCGACCATCTGTTCTCCGCTGAAGGGAGGTGTTAGCACGAGCCAGGCCTGGTTTAGGCGGCGTTTCGTCCCCCGCATCCTTGCTGGGTTCTGTACCCATTCAACTACCAGCCATGTTGGTCCTGTCTCGCAAGGTCATACGTTCCTGGGTCTCTGCCGCTTTCTTTGGATCCTTCAACTGCCTCTCGCCAGATTCAATTCGCTTTTTATCTTCCCTAGCCACATCCTTCCTACTGCCCAACTTGCTTGATGTCGCCGAGGCTGCTGGAGCAAGCATCCTGGCTCTGGTCTTCAGATGGTATTCATAAACAAATAGCTCCTCTCTGTCCATGGTTACATATCCGTCAAATGTGGATCTTGGCTGTGAATCATCAAATTTCCCGCACCGTGACTCGCCCCGTGCGATGAGCTGTCGAACAATTTTCAAGGTATCCTCGCTCGAGTGTCGATAGTCAACTGCGCGGTGCAATGAAGTCCAATTGCTATTATCCCGTGCATTGATTGCTTTTTGACTGGCAAGTTGGACCATTGCCTCGAGTAGAGAGCTGTCACGGAACTTGTTTTTCAGCGCCAAATGCAAGCAATTCTGATTCTGCGAGCCGCATGGAGTTGCTATGGCCTTTGCCAGCCGCTTTTCTGCCCTCTCCGACAACTTTGCAGGAAAGAGGCTCCTTTTGATGCGCGATACGCGTAAACGATCCAGATGATCCAGCCCAATAAGTGCAATGTACAACGGGGTCATGTTTTCATAGTTAGGGAGAGTCAACAACCGGGGGTGATACTTGGCTATCAGTTTGAAAGTCTTTGCCAGCTCCTTGTTCTGTTCCGGAGTGGCATCGTCGTCCTTCATCAAAAAGTGCAGAATGCAATCTCCTGTCTTTTCCGAAGCCTCCCCAATATGCAACCATCGCGTTGCCCCCTTTCCAAAAAGTCTCGCTGGATCCGTCCAGTCCTTGATCTCGAAGCCCTTGATTGACTTGACAATGCCTTGCAACTCTATATGAATTGGATTAGAATCGACAGATTGCCGGTCGTCTTCATCATCGTCATCATCTTCGTCCTCTTCGTCCTCAGTGTCCGCTGCTTCTTCCTCATCGTCATCTTCCCCTTCGGTTTCATTATCTCTTGCTGTGCTATTGGCTGTGACTGGATCGTATTCCTGTTCATCGGCAGTGCTACTTTGCGACGAAGGCTGCACTTCTGTCTCCTTGTCCATGGAGTTGTCCATATTGGGTATCCAGATTGCAAAGGCGTCCCCGGACCCAGCTCTCAACACTCGGGGATTGGGACGAGCTATTGGGAAATAGGATGCGTGACGTGAACTGCTTACCCACGAAAGGTCAGACGGATGACCACCAAAATTACCGGCAAGGATCTCTCTGGCAAAATGATTGAAACAGCCTTTTCTTTTTCAGTGTACGGTAACGTTAGCCGAGCGACTCCCGCGTCAGCAGAGAGTCAGCCGACGAGCTTTTACTTCGTACAGCCTGAGACATCAACTGCGGCTGTCTGCAATTGGTTTTGCTTTTTTCTCGGGGTTTTCTGTCGCTCGACCAGTGAGCACTGAGCAAGAGATGCGGGGCTTCTTGTCTACAACCATTACAAGTGAACAGGTAATCATCACTGTCATCACATTGCTCAACGCAGTTTTTATCAGTTCCTACTCGTGTTCGCATGTTTGATCGCGTCATCAAAGACAGTGGTGAAGGTGATATCTTCCACCAACGCCATATTGAAACCGCCCAACTTCTGCAAGTCATACTCCATTAGCCTATTCGTCGACTCCATCGTGGGGTCGAATAGGACAGGGTCATCCTTTGGCTTCCATCCAAACCACCGTTTTATCGTGGATCTGTCTTGGAGATAAAAGCTTGGAGATTGTATCTAGCTAGGCTATAATAGTAAAGCTATACTTAGTATGGCTAACTAAGCTAATAGGCAAGGGCTATAATAAGGCAAGTAATATATTATACTTTAATACCCTCCTTGCTAAAAGCCCTACTAAAAAAATAAAGCTAAATATATTTCCTAAATAAAAAGCAAATAGTAAAATATAAAATAATAAAAAATAAGTAAGGTGCTATAGCGGGCCGCCCTTATATATAAATAAAAAATAAAAGCTAAAATAAAAAATTATAAAGCTATTTAAAAATTGCCCCTTTTATTAAGGTATTTTATATTAAGTTACTTAATAAAGTAAAAATACTAAACCTGCTTAAGGGGCTTAGTAAAGCTATTAATAACTTATTTTTTAATATTAATATAAGTAAATTTAATATTACTAACAGCCACTTTTTTATAAATAAAGTAATATTTAATTACCACGTGCTTTATATAAGTATAAAATTTTAAATTTTTTAATAAAGTAATCACGCCTTAATTATTTATATAAATAAGTATTAATTTAATAAAAAGCATTTATATTAAAGTAAAATATAAAATATTAAGTTTAATAAAAAAAAGTTAAAGTTATAGGAGTTCTTAAGTTATAATTACTTAAAAAATATACTTTAACTTTATTAATAAAAGGGTTATAGTAAATTATTTTTTAAAAAACTAGTTAATTAGCCTGTTAGCCACCTTAAAAATATATTTAAAAGTAAAAATATAGTTATTAGCATAAGCACTAGCCTAGTTAGTATTATAATATTTAATAAGGCCTTTACCTTTATACTAGTAAAAAATAATAAGGTTTTTTAATACTTTAAAATAGTAAAAAACGCGTGTTAGGGCTGTAATATAATTTTTTAAAAAATTTATTATATATTAAAATAAAAGTATAATAGTAAAAAAATATTTAGGCATGTATTAATAAAAATTTAAATAAAAATATTAATTTATTTTTAGTATAAAAAATTTTTTTTATTAAGGCCTTGCTATTAAACTTTTATAATATAACCTTAAAATTATATAAAGTTATAAAGTTTTTATAGTTTTTAAGGCTAAATTACTTTAAAATATTTTTAATATAATATTTTTAAAAAAAATAAATACTATTATTTACATGGTAAATATTAATATTAATAAAGTAAGTAAGTAATTTATTATTAATAATTTTAAAGGTGCCTTTAAGCGCTTTAATAATTTTTATAATATTATTTATAAATAAAAAAAAAGCATAATATTATTTATATAAAAAAAAATAAATACTTAATTATAAATAAAAACTAAATAATCCACGTGTGTTTTAATAAATTTTAGTAAAATAAAAAAGCTAGTAAGTATTTTATACCACTTTTTTAATAATTATTTTAGGCTATATAAGGTTTTTAAAAGCAAGTTATATTTACTAGTAATTTTATTACCCTTAGGTAGTTTAATAAAAAATTTTTTAAAAAGATTAGCATATAAAAAAGTAGTAATAATATTAAAAAAATATAATACCTAGCTATAGCAGGCAGCTAGTATAATAAAAAGTTTAAAAAATATTAATTTAATAATAGCCATGTATACCTTATAAATTTTATAATTATAATTAATAATTTAGCAAAAGCCTTTAATAACTAGGTAAGTTTTATAAGTATTATTATATTTAATTTTAAATACCTATTTAAAATTAAAAAGGTATATTTTTTTTTAATAATTAATAACGCGCTATATATTATTAAAAAAATAGTTATTAAGCTCCTTATAAATAACTATATGTTATTTATTTATCTTTAAATAAAAAACTATATTTACATATATTTTTAGCTTATAACCAGTATTATTTAAGGTTTTAAAAGTGGAGTTTTATTTATTTAGCTTGCTAAAATTTACTATAAAAATAATATTATTAATAAAGTTATTAAAAGCAAGCTTATAATTTATAAGAAACCACGTAAGATAATTTAAAAAAAAGTTAGGATTATATATAAAAAAAAGTTTATTTATACTTATTAATTTAAAATACTTTTTTATAATTTAACTTAGCTTTTTTAAATAATTTAAGTGGTATATTTTACTTTTTAAAAGTAAAAAATACTAAGTATTAATTTTTAAAGCGCGGGTATATTTTACTAGGCTATTATAATTTTTATTAATTATACTTAAATTACTTTTTTAAAAAAAAGGGCGGGGATTTAAAGCAGGATAATATTAAGGCTTTATATTATATAACTTTTAAATTAAAAAGTTTAGTATAGGTATTAAAAAAAAAATATTAATTAATTAATATTTTTAGAGCCACTCCGGGTTGTAAGTAATACTATTAAAAAATTTTTTTTAAAATAGTTTTTTTTATTTTAAATTTATTTTAAAAGGTTAAAAAATAAAGTTATAAAAAATAAAAATATTTTTATAAAAATTTAATAAAGTTTTAAAGCCTAAGGGTGTATATTTTTATTTTTAAAGGCATAATTTTTTTTTATTTACCTTGCTAGTAATAAGGCGTGAAGTATTAAAATTATATTTATTAATAGGTAGCGGGAGGGAAGTACTTAACTTTTTAAAAATAATATTATAGGTAGTAATAACTTGCTTTAATTTTAAGTTATAAACTTTATATAAACTTTTAAAGTATTTAATAAAACAGCCCTTAACCATGTAAAGGTTTATTTTTATTTTATATATTTTTTTAAAAATAAGGTAAAAGTATTTATATCCTAGCGCGCGCTAGTAAAAAATATTAGGTTATATTTTATTAAGTGCTTTATAGGGCGTTTTACTAATAATTTTATAATAAAAATAGTTATAAATATAAATAACGGCAAGAACTAGGTAATTTTAAAAAAAAATTTAAAAGTTAGTTTTTTATTATAATAAATATAACTAGTTTAATAATATAGTAATTTTTTACCTTAGTAATTAGGTTTAGTACTAAGTAATATCTTAGTATTAAATTAAAAACTATACCATAATTTTTATAATATAACTTTAGTAATTAATATTTAAAAGCATTATTATAGTAAATATATTTTATTTTTAACTTTAGTTATATTTATAGCTAGTTACAAAGTTAAAGAAATTTTTTAAAAAGTTTTTTTTTTTTTTTATAATAAATACCTAGTAAAACTAGGAGGCCTTATTAATAAATATAATAAAATATAAAATGCTTATTTACCCGTGTATTAATATAGGCTTGTAAATATTTATATATATAATATTACCTAGCCAGCGGCTAAAATTCCTAGTTAGATTTTACTTTATTAAAAAAAGCACTATTTTTTTATTAATAATATATAGCTTATATTATTTAACTAGCAGGCCCTTATATAATTTAAAGCTAATAATATATTAAAAAATTTTTTTAATTTTTTTTTAAATATATGGGCAGCCTGTTAATAAGCTAAATATATAAAAATTACCTTATTAAAAACCTTTACCCTAGCTATTATTAAACCCTTAAGTAAAATTATACTTTAACTAAGTATAAAAGTATTTATAAACATGGTAATTACCTTAAAAAAAGTATTAATATTTAAATAAAAATAATAATAAAATTTAAGCAAGGTAGCGTATGCAACTAGGGATTTATATTATATAAATTTAATAATAGTATTAATATTAAATATTATATAAATATTATTATTTATAAGCTATTTAATTAATAGTAAATTATAAGCTAAGCTAGGTGTGTACTAAATATTTTTTAATAAAAAACTCCTAATTTATTATATACTAAACTTATTAATAATACCTAATATAATATTACTATAGCCTTTAGTAAAAAACTTGCTATTATTAGCTATCTTAACCAAAACTTTAGTATATTTAAATAATATAAAGTCGTGCTTAAAGTATATTATATAATAAAAGGCATTAAAGTTAAGTATTTAACTATTATTAATAACTAGTTTAATATTTATATAAGTTAATTTAATATAAAGATTTAGCTTATTAGCACTAAAATCTAATAATTATATAAATATAAAGTTTATGTATATAAAGTTAAAATTAATACTAACTATATTAGTGTTTAAAAAGGCTTATAAAGTATTAGGCGGAGGCGCTAATAAAAAACCTTAAGTTAATTCCTAAGCTAATTATTACAAAGCGCTAGTAGTAATATTTTTTACCTATATAATATTTATAAAGGTAAAAACACCGCGGCCTTTTTTACCTTTTTTTTTTTTATAATATTTAGATTTACCACCGCGGCCTTAACAAGCGCTAGTACTAGTATTTTTAAAATTACCTTTATTTTTTAACTAGGTATTTACTAAATTCCTAATACAGGTAAAAAAAAAATAACTATTATATAATTAATAATATATATACTATATAATATTGTAATTCTTAATTAGGATAAAGCTATTATAATTAAAGTAGCTAGTAGTATTAGTAATATATTAAGTAATTTTAAATATTTATATTTAATTAAGTTTAAACTATAAAAAAAGTAAATAAATATTATTAATATTTTAATAAAATATTATATATAACTAAGTAATAAAGGGCTATATATTATATAAGCTAAAAATTATTATAGTAAAAAAATACCATATAGCCTATTAATTAAAAATTTAAATAATTATTAGCTTAGTAATAATATTCCTAAACTTTGCAAGAAACTATTTTAATTATTAATTAATATATCTTATTATATTAAGTATTTACTAGCTTTTTAAAAAAAAATTAGCACTAAATAAGTTATATAGCTTTTATAAATAATAAAAGGCTTAGGTAATACTTTAAAGGCTAAAAATTTAGTTTATATATTATATATAAAGTATTAATTATAAAAATAATAATAAAAAAAAGTTATATTACGTTTAGCGCCCTTGCTTTACTTTTATTTTAATATTTTAAAAAGTTTAAATATTAATTTAGTTTTTAATAATAAGCTTAGTAACTTAATTTTAAGCCATGTTATTTTTATTAATATATTTTATAATAATAATAACTTGCTTTAGCAAATACTTATAAAAAAAAAAACTTTTTTAATAATAATAGGCTAAAAACAAGGTAATTTAAATTAAAGTATAATTTTAAAAAATTTATATTATAAATAATAGTTTTTTTAATTATTAAGCTATATAATAACTTTATAAAGGTTAAAAATAATAATAGTAATATTAGCTATATTATAAATAAATTTTTATATAACCTTAATATATAAGGGTAATATAAAAATTATATAAAATAAGTAATTAAAAAATTTATACTAGGCGGTGGAAAATCCTAATATTATATAAAAATATTTTTAACTTAATAAATATTTAAAGTAAATAAATTTTAAAAAAAGGTAGTAATAAAAAAAGTAGTTATATATAAGTAAATATAATATTTTAATAAAAAAAGCTACCTAGGGCATATAACCTTTTAAAAATAAAAGCTTAAAAATTATATTTAGCTAGGCTATAATAATAAAGCTATACTTGGTGTGGCTAACTAAGCTAATAGGCAAGGGCTATAGTGGGGCAAGCAGTATACTACGCTCCAACAATCTAACATCCACTTTACTGTTGATTTCGAGTGTGCATTGGAAAGGGGCGAGGGTGGACCGCTTGAGTAAGACTCCTGCTCGTAGGTACACAGGCACCCCTGTCTGAAGTGTCGCATTTTCCTTCAACTTTTATTCGACGGCATTCTCAGGATCCCAATCGACTCCAATCATACACGACGTGCCGCTCACGTGAGTCGCATCCGAGACCTGACAAGTGACCACTTTACTGTAGTTCTTGGCCAAGGCGACCTGGCCGGCGTTCGCAACGTTAGTACCGATCTTTACATCATACCCCCTGGCAATTGTTTTGGTATCTTCTTTTTTAACCAAACTGTAGGTCCCATTCAGCGAGAGATCGGCCACGCCGGGATGATTATTGTTGGCGGATTTGCCCGCAAACGTGACGGTGATAGTGGCAGCCGCAATCCTCGCCCTGGCAGGAGCTCCAGTAGTGTCAAAGCAAAAGCCGAATACAATTAAAGTGGCATCTGATTCTGTGCTTGTAGGGGACCACCTTCCGTGAACAACGTCGAGGAGCGAGCATTTGACATGGATTCCCTGTTGGTTGTTGTGAACGGTCTCCCGCTGATATGGTTGCTCGGGCGGATTTTTCGTGCGAAACAACCCTCCCTTGCCTTTATCTGGGGTGAGATTGATTTTAAAGGTGCGAAGTTCCTTGATTGCATCCTTGGACGTCATCTTGAGGGCACATAATCTTCGTTTCTTGCATTGACCATAAGGCCTACTCCGTAGTGCATCTTCTAGATACCTCGCCCCTATTATATGCTCCGTGGTTATAGTGGCTTTTAGTCACAACTCCTCACCTTACCTAAACTATCTGAGCGTCAAATCACCGCCAATCGATTTATCCTTTGCTGTCGCGTCGCACAAGACAGCTTGTAATGTTTCCGTATCCATTGGTCGGACGGAGTTCCCGACATGGGCGCTCAGTAGTTCCCTAGGACGTCATTAAGCTCGCCGTGCCCAAGGGTTACTTTGGTCGCGGACTAGCGCTTGTCATGAGAGAGGCCGTAGCTTGTCTTTGGGAAATGCATGTTCCAGGTAGTTTTTAAGACCGTGGTAGAACATCTGTTCTGTTGGTCCTAGGTTCCAGCCGCACGAGTTAGTTTCACTGCACGGGGAGCACCATCGCTCTTTCCTGCCATTTGTGGCAATAGGCTCCTTCAAACGCTGCTTAGCCTGATCTCGTCTGCAACATTCTGGATCAGTGTTGCTCGACCGCGTCAACCGTGTCCATGTCTTGCTTTCCTTGCGTACAGTTTTCAAGCATTGAGCGTTAGTAAGGAACACCATGTCCGTACAGCCGGCAGCAATTTGTGAACAAAACCGGGCCACGAATCAAGGCCCTGAGTCAGAAGCACTCAATTCAACGGAGACTAGGGAAGTGGTAATCCATTCAGGCCACAGGGAAAATCTCCACGGTGTCCCTTTCAAGACAGATATACACCCATCGGAACTCATTACTGTGAAGGATGGAACCTTAAATGTGTAAGCAACATTGATCTCTGGCTCGCAAGCAGTGAGAGTTTGCTAACTGGGTACAATGACAGATACGTGATTTTGGTGCACGGGATCATCGATCGTGAGCGGAAAAACCAAAAGCGATGGGAAACATGGCAGCCTTGGCTGGAGAGCATGGGTCTCTGGGGTGACAACACAATTCAAGACTACAACTACGATGTCCAGACGTCAAATCCTGAGATATTCACAAAATGTGGGATCGAAACGGAGGCCGCGAGATTGGTCGAAAGCCTCATTCAACATAAGCAATCTCAGCCACCACGGGAGACACTGAACGACGTAGTAGGTATGAGCTCACCAACCGGCCTGTATCAAGAGGAGCAGGACAGCTTCAACAACCGATACGTCTTCGTGGCCCTGGCCATTGGCGGAATATTGGTCAAGAAGGTCGTACGAGCCGCTGCCTCTACGAAACATTGATCGAGTGTGCATTACTGACCTTCTTTAGGCCCTCATTCTCGCATGCCTCAAACCGGTCATTTATAACCACTTGGACTACTGTACATCGGGTTTGGTGAGAATAGAAGTGAATTGTGGAGCAGGCTTTCTCTAACGCAATGGATTGGGTGTTTGCGAGCTGCCCACATAGAGCTTCTTCGATCAAACAGAGTGAGGATTATATCGGGGAACTTGTCTCCCTCAACTCCTCTTTCCCATCTGGTTCAGTGCAGAAGATCAGCGAGCTCGCACGAGCAGTGCAGGCCATCAACAGCGACTTCTGCGAGACGAGGTATCTATCGAGGGCGGTGGTCTGCAATCTGGTATCCAACAGGGTCACGACTATTCTGACCGAACCGGAGGATGATCTCAACGGGAAGGGAAAAGAAGGTTCCGGTAGTGATAGCGATGGTGAAGAAAGTATCAAGGAATTCCCAGTTAGATTCCCAGCATCATTCATCCCCCAGCAGCAAGTGACATATGCTGACTGCGAAGTTCTTAGGGCTCATCCACCCCAACGGTAGAGGAATCAGCCCCAGCAAGTATACTCGCCAGCCCCTGCTCTTATTATGAGATCCCGTTTGAGCTGGTCTTCAGAACCAAGGCTTCGTACCTACGTCTCGTTGAGGGGCCTTGGGAATCGAAAGTAGAGCTGTTGTCGCCAGACGCAATTGACCAGTTTAAAGGCGCTCTCGAGAGTACAAGGAATACGGAAATAACCATGGATCTTTATCACCTTGCTCTATCCCAATCCACTCCACTTTATCCTCCTCCCATTCTGCCATCCAAGGCGTCAATCAGGCACCGCGCCGATATAATCATGAACACCCAACCCTACGAGCACTGGCTAAGTCAACATGGAGATACCGTACTCCATGTACATGGAACCTCTGGCATATCCGCCATTATGCACGAACTTTACGGACGCCTTAATAAGTTGGTAGAAAGTCCCGCTTTCATTTTTGAATTCAATCAGCACGACATCTGTCGCAATAACGTCCAAGCCTTACTGTTGACTATCATAGCTTTTATGCTCAGCCGCTTTGGGCGTCTTTGGGCATATGACTATGTCTATATAATGCAAGAAATGTATAGCAATCGGAGCTGGAGCTTAAATAACCTGTATCAGGTACTGGTGTTAATGCGAGGATACACGGGCGCGAGCCCCTTGACCCTAATAGTTAGTCGGCTTGACAAGTGTGATGAGTCGTGGGTATGGTTTGTGGAGAAGTTATCACCAATGACCCAGGCTCACCGAGACCGCTTTCCCTGGATTATCGGGAGTTAAGAAGCAGAACACATCAAGTTAAAACTTTCTGGGTGGCCAACAATTAATCTTAATAAATATACCAACAAGCAGCCATTCGATACTCACAGCCGCCCTCTTAACCCAAATGCTTATATTTTAACCCCAGTACCTAGATACTGCGCAGTACCACCACGTATTACTAAGTGCGCTGTCCGGCCCCTAAGTAACCTTGAAACGTCCATTATAGCGTCGCGCTTGAATAATCTAGATGCGGGGACTCTACGGGAATGCAATGTTATGGAACACCACTCTCGCCTGGCAGAAATATGCTTGGAGTATCTCTGTGATGTTGATGTACAAGAGAAGATTTGGGACTTTTGTGACTGCGATATTTCGCTGCGACGAGCGCCTTCCTATACCAATCGTTGAAACCTTGTTGCATACGCCATATTGTACTGGCCAGTCTATTATCGCCTCTTTGGTCCGCACTGGCCCTTCCAGCAGGCAGTACAGTTTTTCCTGAATCACCAAGCACGCAACGCCTGGTCTCAAGTGAATATATTCTCTCTAATCCGTGCACCCGTCTGGACCGCGGCTACTTGTTGTCTCTGCCGCTCATGGCTATGCATGGATTTAATGACCTGGTCTCCGCATGGATTTATCGGACGAATGATTCAGATTCCTTTGTGGTAGACGCTTCCCTTGCGCTGACCGAAGCAGTCCGTGCTGGGCATGTCTTTATAGCTAAATTGTTGCTAGAAGCGGTTAAGCCAGATAAGAAAGTGCTTGCTAATGCAATCACCTCCGCTGCGTCCCATGATTATCGTGGAATGTTACACAAACTAATACAGCGAGCATTGTCAACCAACACGTTTCCCTGGCCTCCGCAGTTGCTTCATCGGTTGGCGTTTCTTAACATACCTGAGACCACAGAGGAATCAGCCCTGTGCCGAAGGATCTTGATGCACGAATCACCACTGCCACTGCCAGGGAAGCCGAAAGCAAAATGCAGATGCCTGGAGCAAGGATTTCCAGTCATTGTTTGATGGTTTACCTAAATCTTCTTTAATAATTACTCAACATTTACGCACACTGCGGTTATAACCTTGAAATTAGGGTACCATCCATGGGTTCATAGGTGCCATCAAACGGCATCCACAACCTCTGCATGCCCCTCCACTGGCTTCATGGCCTCATTTCCATCGTCAATAGGTATCCCGTGTAGCTCCGCCTCAATACGCTTAATGCGCGTCTTCTCCTCATATGCCGCTGTATCACCAAAGATAAGGTCCATGTCTTCGAGTGTCTATACATGCCAACAAATTGGTCAGTGTCTCTAAAGCTGAGGGGCTGAGATGGGGAGAATCGCACGCACCTTCCCGCGAGTCTCGGGAATGAAGAAGAATGTAAACCCAAGCGCAAGGAGATAGAACGCCGCGAAGAAGATGTATGTGCCCCAGGAGATTGTCTCGAGCATGTCCGGGGTGACCAGGCCAATGATGCTAAATAAACGGACGATCGTTAGCAACCGCCGAGGAGAATGCTATAACGGTATGCTCACAAGTTACACATCCAAGTCGCCGACGTCGTGATCGAGATTGCCTTGGATCGGATCGAAAGGTTGAAGATCTCTGACGGGAGAACCCATCCATGGATCCAATGGGGGCTATACAGTGTCAGATCTTTATAACCCAAGTTAAGATACCACAATACTCACCAAACGAATAGTTAAAGTTCACAATGTAGATATAGATAAACGCGATCCACGCCCACCCCGCAGCCTTGTGGTCTACAAGGCTAGCACCATACGCCCCCACGATCGCGCCTACAATAACCAGCGAGATACAAGTCCCGGTTGCACCGGCCATCAGGAGGACGCGACGGCCAACTTTGTCGATGAAGAAGAGAGCCAGCAGCGTGCTGAGGCAGTTAACGATGCCGTAGACACCGGTCGCAAGGAGAGAAGAGGTGTTTCCGTCGAGGCCGAGCTGGGCGAAGATTGTTGGTGCGTAGTAGATTATGGCTGCCATTCTGTTAAAACTCGGCCTGTAAATACAGCAAGATGGAGTATGGGATGGTCATACCATTGCAGCCCATGAACTATTGGAAGAACATGACACAGCACCGGATTGCGAGTCTCCTGAAGCGGGCCCATGTCGTCAGGAAGAATATATACTGTATAATGTTAACTTATGCTATGTCCAGACATGCCTCACATACCTAAGCAGCGTGAAGTCTGACACCAGAGAGACCTGGAAATTTCTCTCTCGCGAAGCTATTCTCCAGCATGATGGACGCCCGGATTTCCAAATACTCACTCCGCAGAGCCGAACTATCGGTCGCCTGCCGACGTAGCCTAGACAATGAAGAAAGCGCCTCGTCGTCCCGCTCTGTCATCAACAGCCATCGAGGCGAATCCGGGAAGAACAACATGCCAATACCTAGGATTACTGCAGGCGCAATCTGGATGGCAAGTGACAGACGCCAGGATGCCTCAGACTGCCCTGTGCAGCCAGTTTCCGGTACATCGATATACGGATCAAACAAACTGCCGGCGTAGGGCACATCCGGGGCGCAGCGAGTCCCGCCAATGCAGTTTGTGCCATAGTCGATCCAGTAGCTGACAAGGATGCCGATCGTGACGGATACTGTCAGCGTCAACGGGCTGCTTGAGAGGTATGAGGGGATGGCGAGACAAACACTGCTGCACAACAACAAGCCCCCCCCGAATCTCAGGTATGGACACCTTAGAGATATACAGCGGAACGACCATGGTGAGCATACCATGGAACCGCCAACCCAGCAACCGCCAACCCAGCAACCGCTCTACCGGCGAAGATCATGGGGATGTTGGTTGCACTACATTGGATAGCCGATCTAATTACAAAGACAACAACAGCCAGGTTGATTAACATCTTGCGCCCGAATCGGTCGGCGATGGGGCCGTTGACGAGCGATCCAAACCATGCAGCTAGATAACCGTTAGATTCGTTCAGTGTTATGATGTAATGCTAACCCAGCAAAAGCGTCGACACAAACCACCCCTTGAACCCGCTGTCGCTGAAAATACACGGGAAGCTTCCCGGATAACATGAAAGGTTCCAGTGACATCAACATCCAGCATCTGCTTGAACGCGCCAGTATCGGCGTCCGCGATTTCATCGTGGCTATTTGGTCCAATCCCCGCGCAGTTAACGCAGTAATCCATGTGTCCAAAACGCTCGATCATCGCGGAAACAGCGGCGTCCACAGACCCTTGATCTGTGATGTCGACGTGCGTTGCTAAGGCGAGGAAGGAAATGGGTGAGTTGGCCACGAGTCTCATGCTAGTGCACAGGCGCGCTGTCTCTGATGCAGCGGTAACGTTGATATCGGCGATGAGGATTCCTTCTGCGCCGGCTTTCGCGAGAGTTAGGGCACAGGCGCGGCCGATGCCGGTGCCTTTTTCTGGCTGTTAGTCCAGTGGCGGGTGGGGCATGGGGAAGGAAGCTGGGGTTGGAGTTACTGACCTCCTCCCACGACTAGAGCGTACCCGGTGATGCTCATCCTGCTTTGAGACAATACAGAGTACTGGCTTGGATATAGGACACCTTATTTGCCAGCTTGGTTGAGCATGGGGTCTGTTATGACAAGGCTGCTGGTCATGTGATTCGTGCCTCAGTATGATGTCAGGAGAGGAGCCGAATTGACAACCTTTATAGTCTGATTGACACTGGTCTAGAGTAAGGCGAGTTGACAGATGATGTAGCTGCTACCGTGGCCAGCTCTTTGCGCGGGCTGCATTGTCAGACTTCGGGCATTCGATATGAGGAATCGCATTGAGACGATGACACGCAATCACAGCTAGGGTGACATTCAGAGACTGCAGTCGCTAACCAAGCATTCTAAAACCTCGAGTTCCTTCACGCTGCAAGATACTATCGCTCATAAACTTCACGTAGTACAGAAAAGGTCAAAACTGGTGTCTCCCCAAGTTCTTTTTTGAATGTCCAAGCCCTAACTCAACGATCTGCTAGTCCGAAGTGGGTGTTAATTAGAATACCAAAAGTAACCCAAATTATATATGGACATACATACTGCCTGTTAACCGACTGGATTGAACCACTGTAATTGGTCTCTTAGAAACCGTGTCCGGCGAGCTTCCTGTACGGCTTGATCCGGGAATGCAGCTTGCACCTCTGCGTCAAAAACAGAGAGTATGTCGCGACGCCTTGCTAAACTCAGTAGAAGACACGCATACACCTCCTTTTGTCTCGAGTAAGTCTCTTCTTTCAATATCTTGAGCGCTTTGATCATAGATGAACTTATCCGGGCACCTCGCTCGAGCAAAACTTTCATGGTCCGGAGTCGTTTGGTTGCTTCCCACGCATCCATTTTAATCTCGTCGCCGAATAAAGCTACCTGGAGGAGGCGGTTTTCAAGTGGCTGAGCCCATCGACTGAAAAGTTGGAAGCGGTGGCGACCAGGCGTCGGGGGCCCGAGTTTGGCTTCGAGGAAGGAATGGCATCCATATGCTGCTGCCCACATCATGGAGTTCTGTACAGCTGTACCATGGTATTTTGGGGTTTTTCTTCCGCGGAAAGGTCCCGGATCAAGGCTATCGAGGATGGAAACAAGCTGGGTTCGGGTTCTGGAGGTGTCAGGAACCTCCCCTGCGTGTTGAAAGATTTGCTTTCCATAATTCTCGCCAAGATTACTGGTACGGACGACTGAGTCACTGGCAGATCTGGCAGAGCATACAACAACTGCAAGGAGCGATACAGTGGGGCAATACTCTGCTGGGCCTTTGCGGACTATTTCATTCCAATTCTGCGGTTCTCGAATCCAGTCATATGCGGTTCTATGGAGGAAGTCAACCGTTGTGCTGTATGTCCCAATGATAGACACTTGCAGCATGCCCCGTGTATGGCCCTCAAGAAGCCTCTTAGTAAGTTTGATAATGCGCCACTCCGCATCATCGTCCGGATATTCAGGCTGATTTATAGGATTCGTATTTGCAAGCCAGAGAAGAGTTGCCGATATCGGTCTATTGTAGAGCCTCTTCCACTCCATCAGGAGCTGGTACAGTTTCGAAGCCTCCTCTGCCTTTTCCGGCCCTATCTGCCTCTGGATAGTGTCGTATAGTTTGTTGAGGTCTGCTGGCAGGTCATTCAGCGTCTTTTGCAACGCTTCCATCTTTGGGTTGTCCATGCTGGTGAGAAGAAGCTGCTCAACCACAAGAGCAACCCAGAGAAAAACACCTTGTGCTTTTGCTTTGAGGTCTTGAATCAGCTGATTAACTCCCTCCGGCTGCAAATCTCGGATTTCCTTGAAGGCCTCGCTTTCTTGGAGGCGACCTTCAACATAGAGATCAATGTCTGGTTCTGTCAGTTGCTGCATGGCTAGTGTAGGGCAGTCCTTGAACTTGTCCCGGAAGTAGTTCAATGGTCGACTCGACACGCAGAGCTTGACCCCATATTCACTCTGCAGGGTGTTGAGAAACTGGACCAATTCATTGGTCATACTAATGGACTTTGGGTGGTCTTCAACGAAGTCCTCATATTCGTCCAGACCGTCAATAAAGAGGGCAAGCCGAGCACCCGTGACCTTGAATCTGGAAGCAAGCCTGATGAAGCACGCACATAGTTCTGTCCATTCCCACTCGGGCAGCTCTGCGGCTTGTTCGGAAAGATCAAAGAAAAGCCGACGCCTTGCTGCAACAATTTCTGCCAGGTCTGGCCGATCCTTCACCAGCGTATAGAGCAATGATTGGAGAAGGCCGACGCGCGATTTCTGGACCGTCGAGCCGGGATTCCAAAAGTAAAAGCTTGCTATATGAAGCTCGTCCTCACCGGCCCATTGCCTCAATATATCCCCGGTCTGCGGGTGTTCCGAAATAAACCTCATCAGGGTACTTTTGCCAGATGCTGGAACTCCTGTTATCCAAAACGTTGTCTCGTCCTGTGATGCGAGCCATGTCCGGAAGCTGAGCTCAAGCGGGTTGGTTTCATCGCCATGGTTCCGCTCTTCAAAAAGCCACAAGAAGGTGTTTGGATAGGCCGGCCGAATTTGGTGGGTACGGTCATCCATCTCCTTAGAATAGAGACTGCGAAGGATTCTCTTTGTGAAATCCGGCTCTCGCTCCTCTGCAGCCCCTCCAAGATCTGACATGGTATGCAAAGGGGGGTTCAGAACACGAGGCGATGGCAAGTTTGACGGAATGTCAACCCAGGCAGTCGATTCCCAGAGAGCCTGATATACCTTTTGTGGATTCGGCTTTGAGGATGACGGGGATAGGAGGCCAGCTGCCGTTCCTCCACCTTCGTCTGTCAATGTCTCCATTGCCTTCTTGATACGCTCGACAGCTTGAAGGACTTGTTCAGTCTTACTGTCGGTGTTTCGTGTTTCCTCCCTGTATTGGTTAGCCTCTACCACTGAGGGTTGACTGGGCTACACCTACCATACACACATCAGAACGTTCATCATAACCTGATCACGAATCCTTTCCAGCTGTTTGTTCCACTGCTCCAACTCCGATGCCGACCAGACAGTTCGGACCGCCACAGCAACTGTTGATCCTCGCTTGGTAAAATAGCTCTTTGGACTCACAGTCAATTTATCCATAGCATGTTTTATTTTCGTTTCAATCTGAGTTACCTCAGTCGTCAAACGAGAGAGGGATTCTGCATGCCGGGGATAGCTGAGGCTCAAGCTCTTGACGTTTTCCCGAGCGGTCGAAGCGACAGACGACAGATCAGCAGCGGAAGCGTCAAGGTTTAGTATTTCAGCTGGCTGTCCTTTAATCGACGCCCGGACTTCAAAGTACGTGTTGGCCAGTTTCCCACCAAAGTCGACAAAGGCGACCACGGCCGCGGCGACGGAGAGGGCGCTTAAGGGATCCATCGATATATCCGGATGTCAAGGGGATGGCAACAGACCCGAAACCTTCTCCTACGTCTGGGAATAGAATTCCGACCGGTAGGAGCCAAGCTGGAAGATCGAAGGTGATCAAGGTACTGTTGCGCGGGCCAGTGAGCGAGTTGGAATCAGTTAAGGGGTAGAGGTGCTTTCGAATACCAACGACGAGTCGGCGGATCGAGGTACGCCAAACAAAGCACGTCCAGTACTAAGTACGCAATGCAAAGAAATGGATTGTTGTTGGGGTTAGGAGAACGTCGAACGAGAGGTGTGAAGATCGCGCGCAGGTGCCCCGGGGCCCCTCGTCGCGCCTTCCAACCCCGGAGCACCGTAAGACAAAATCTGACGCCGAGCGTCCTTGCTGTGGCATTTCCTGACGTGCGTTGCTATAGCTCTGTGCTACACACCAAAGGTTGACTGAGCCGGAAGGACTGGAGGAGGAGCAGCCCCGGGGTGCGGCTCGTGTCGTTTCTGGTGGCAATATTAGCCAGCAAGTTAGGGATTGATCGAGGCACATCCCTACGTGGCTGGCTGTGGTAGGCTGGGTCATCAGGGTGAAGTAGCTGCATGACAGGGTTTACGAAAGTAGGAAACATCCGTTTTCTTTTCAGGGTGGGTTTACAGTCTCTGCTGCCAGGCGAACACCTTCTACTGCCGGGATAAAACATATTCCTGTGGGCCACCAAACAGGCTGTAACCTAGGTACCTTGAACATAACCGTTAGGCCGTTAGCTTCTCTACCCATTACAAAGCGAAGAGCGTTATCCTGTACTTTAGCTACGGGTCTGGTTTAATACCCTTTTGGATGACTACCCTGAATTACGACCACCGCTGATAATCAGAAAAGGCCCAATGACCGAGAAGATTGACTCTCACAGTTAAGGAGCTTATGCCACTACTTTAGATCTACCGGTCATCCTCGTCATGCCCATCACAGATTGTAGCCCGTATGCCTGTTCCGATAGTCCGACTCCAGCTCGACAACATCGGGGTGGCCCATCAATTCATTGGGCTGAGGAGCGGGCTTCTGTGCCGGCGGGGGATATTCAGGCGTAGGGCTAACTTGAGCAAGGGGAACAACAGCATTCACCCGTTTCCTTCTCTCCCACAAGGCCCAGGCGACCGCTGTAAGCACCATCACTCCCAATGGCACGCCGATACCGACCCCGATCGCCACGTCATTGGTTTCCTCGCACTCTGGACAATCCGAGAAGGCGCCTGTGGTGTTGGTACGGGTGGTATTCGTGTTGTTGGCGGTGACCAAATCCTGCAGGGCGGCGACGCCAGGCATCATGGCTCCTTGTTCCATCCCGAACTTCGATCCATACCAGCACGCCGGCAGCGGGTCGCTAACGTTAGGGTTGTTTTTGATGGAGTTGCAGCAGTACTGGATGCCGTTTATGCGGTCGTTACTGAACATGACGATCATGCAGTCGGCGGAGGGGTTGACGGTGACTAGATCCGAGAAACATGGATCAGCGTATGATGCCTCATTCTAAAGGGGCTGCCCGGTCTTACGGCAATGCTTGGTGCACTGCTCGATTTCAAACATGGGGTCAGTGCAGCTGCCCCGCGACAAGACGTACGGCGGGGTGGTGCCCAGACACACGCCGTTGTCTAAACAGATTGAGTTGCGCGGGCAGCAGTGGCTGTATTGACCGGGGCGGCAAGAAACGTGGTGTTCTGCGATGATCCCTGGTGTGGGGAAGTAGCAGGTCGACTGGGCGCCGGTGAGTTTAGCGAGCGCGTCGAGGAAGAGGAAGAGGATAAGGAAGGGGAGTCGAGAGCGCGTCCGCTGCAGCATCTCTGTTTTGTGACGTAGCACAAGCAGAGCCAGGGGTAGGAGTGTCGTGAGCAGAATCTGAAAGGACGAACGAGCCGGGGAGACAAAGGCTCCTTATAAGGTGACTCCCTGCTGAAGTGCCACTCCATCTTCTCGGTATCCTTAACCATCCTGCGTGCAGGAGGCAGCCGCGCAGAGCGAGTCCGGCTCCCAAGAGCCCCAGCTTCAGGGTCTGGTTCGGCCAGCGAGAAAAAGAAAACACCGGGCGGCAATCATGGGTTGCGTCTGTGGAACAAGCAAGTTATTTAATGGCGAATCCTAAGGCAGATATCTTCATATGAGCGTTGCTTATAGCTCGATCTCTTCACGGCCTCGCTGGGACTCGAGGCTGCGCATTTTGTTGGCGGGGGGTGAGTTATAATGACTAGGGTTGTACAATTTACCGTAAAGAATAATTCCTTACCCAAAATTGCTGACAGAGGTTAATTTATTACTAACGAAGTAATGAATCACGTGCCATAAAAGTGGGTTTAAACTAACTAATAAGAGTATAGCTTGGCGCTTAGCTTTTCTGCCAGCCAATTAAATGCGGGAATTCTTAACCTGTGAAGTTAGAATTATCGCTTTGCTGGCTGTCCTCTGCTCGATAATTCTGCCAAGGCGCTAACCCGATTAGGAGGCGGTAAGTCACGTGATTTTATTTTTTCGTCAGGAATTATTCCTTACCGAAAAAATCCTTAAATTTCGACTTTCCGTAATTACCGTCAACTATTTTGTCCATCCCTAATAATGACAGGCATTCGATTGAAAACCTGAGGGCGAGCACAGCCCCGAGTTCCGGGATCCCGGGCTTACACAGACCAATGGTAACCGGTTACCAAGCTTGTGCTACCGCAGGCTAAGAATAACGTGCATGGTTCTTCCAACAGACGAATTGGGGTGGTTGACTGCCGCATCCGGCGCTTGGATGTGAGGGCCCGCCCTATGAGAACGGCACCCCGCCATGCCCCTCGTATTGCGCTGCATTCCACTCGTCTGGTTTCGCCTGTCAGGCGTTGACATGGCAGGGCTTGCCTCAATTCGTCGCCAGTCAATCAGATCATCCCCAGGCCGGTCAATCCAGATTCCAGCCTTGTCTCACCTCAGCCCATGCCGTTTTTGTTTTTGAGTCCAGACCGTGTCCCATCCTGCTGTCAGCAATCTTTACCATTTTTGAGGCTCTGGATCGTCATTATAAGCATGCTGAGCGGGCTCTCCCTTCCATTCCCTCGCTTCATGGCTCCCATCCGTCGGCACCCATGGCAGGTGAGCCTGCTTTTGACTATCCTTTGCTACGTGGTCCTACATTCGCTGCATAATAGACGGAATGAGCTGAGCTCGTCTGCTGCCTCACGACCACCGCGCTCTGTTATGCGACCGTCCGACTTTGCGCAACACGAGCGGCAATGGAGGCCGTCCGACGACAACTTCCCGCACCCCCTTGAGCCCGCGGGACCGGGCACAATGCGCGATATGAGGTATGCAGTGCGCTGAGAGTTTGTTTAACTGCTGATGTGGTACAGGGAAGAAAAGTTCTACCTTGGCGGAGTGGCCACAGTACAACCGTGGGACGAGTCCCTGCCGCCCGCACTGGCCGTCTACGACCCATACCCTGATTACAATACTCGCGAATGGAGTAAGGAATGGAAAGGTAAATTTAAAGCTTGCGAGGGTCCACGTGGACGGGCTTTGGATCGACGGAGCGCCGAGGATATGGTTCGCGCCTATCCGGGCGTACAGGAGGGTGCGTACCTGCGCATGCTTACCTCTCACGCATACCTTCTCACATGGCTTCTTAACATATGCAGGCTTTCCCTATCCCAAGTATGGCTCCTACGAGGCTCTCGGGCTGGATGGATACACCTGCGCAACCCGTGCCTCCCGCCTCAGTGCATACGGCTACTCCGAGGATAGCTCAGACTCAACCTCGAACCCCGACGCTGTACCGTGGGATACCGTTAACTGGGGAACGCTGCAGTCGCAATGTTTCGAGCATAATGCGAACCGATATTACAAGCCCAGAAAAACGCCGCGCCCGAGTATCCTGCCCCTGAACCCGATCCAATCCGATCCACCGCCAGATGAAGACCAAGGTCAATCCTCGCCGACTCCAAAGAAGCGGTCGGCGGTGATACTCCGCGGATGGCATGATATGGTGTGGACCGAGAACCTCAAGCAGCATGTTCGGTCGCTCATCATGGAGCTGTCGCTGCATTCTGGTGGTGAATATGAGGTGTTCCTGCTCACCCACGTGAAGGACAACGACCTCCTCTTGTATGCCACCGACGAGGGCAAGATCCAAGAACTCAAGGAGAGGTTCATTCCGCCTGAGTTCTGGGACATTACAGTTTTATTCAATGAGCGGACGTTGCAAAGCTGGTATCCCAAGGTGGACGAGCACCGGTATCTACCACCCGCATACCTAAAGCCCTAACCCAGACATATCTAACAACACTAACCGTCCAGACCCGTCTACCAATACCCGCAACCGCTCCAAATCTTCTCCACCGTCTTCCCCGACTTCCACTACTACTGGCAGTTCGAGCTGGACGCCCGCTTCACCGGCCACAGCTACCCCTTCCTCGAGCGCGCAAGCGACTTCGCAAAACAGCAGCCGAGAAAATACCTCTGGGAGCGCAACGCCTACTTCTACATCCCCGGCGCACACGGGAACTGGGACGAATTCAAACACATGGTCGACGAGTCCCTGCGGACCAAAAACGACGCCACCGTCTGGGGTCCCGCGCCCCCCTTCGACTGGATCAAGCCCGTCGGCCCTGAGCCTCCCGTCCCAAGCCCCAAAAACGACAACTACGAATGGGGCGTCGGCGAGGATGCAGACCTCATTACCTTTTTACCTATCTTCGATCCCGTGGAGACAACCTGGGTCTTCTGGGACAAGCTCTGGAACCTCCCGCTCGAGGAAACAACGCGGCGCACATCGCCTGTGATGATGGGTCGGTATTCCCACCGGTTACTCCAACTCATGCACAATGCACAAATAGACGAAGGCGTCGCGCTCGTTTCAGAAATGACACCATCATCCTTTGCGCTCTGGCACGGCCTCAAAGCCGTCTACGCCCCGCACCCGATCTACGCAGACGGGAAGTGGACGCCCAAGGAGCTGAACGGCATCGTGAATAAAGCTGCCGGTGGCCCAGCCAAGATCAACGGCGGCAAAGACAGCTTCTGGAACTGGGACCATAAGCTCGATCATATCGTCTACCGCATGAGTTATATGTTTACCGGGCAGCCCGGGGAGGACTTTTATCGGCGCTGGCTTGGGTATAGGGTTGATCCGGGGCAGTATACGGATGGGAGTCGGGTAGGTCGATGCATTGCTCTTTCCTTGCAAGCTTCTAGTAGTCTTACTTATCTGTACTTGCAGCACCAAGATGCGTGGGGACTGAACTGGTATGATGGTGGGGATTTGGTAAGACCCCCTCTATGACTGGACTAAGCGCCCAATTGGAAGGCTCTTTTGCTGACTTGTGTAGAGGGAGGATCTATACGGACCACTCTGCCTGCCCTCTATGCTGCTACATCCGGTTAAGAATACCGAGCTGAAGAAGGGACCTGATATGGCGGTTCCGGTCTAATGAGATGATGTCTCTCGATGTATATTATGAGAAACGTTGCGGCTTTGCATTGGGGAAACTGCGTTGAGCGGGTATTGTTTTGTCGAATTGAGCGCTTAATATATGAGAGATGTGCCAAACTAAGAGATGAGCTTGTGCGGTGTGCCATTTCTGCACTACTGTTCTGGAGCCTCACCTGCGGTTACGAGACATTTCCGGAGTTGGTGCTACTACCACCGGAGGCCCCCGGCAGATGTTGTAATGGGGCATGGCTTCGCCACGTACCTATATTGCACGTAAGAGCCATACAAAGCCCTAGCTCTAGCGGTCATACTCACACGTATGACTTCTACCCAGCCCTTCAGTCGGATGTTTTGTTTGCGCTCAAATGTAAAAAGAAAGCACTCCCTCCTCCTTAACTTTTCATTGGCGTGTTATGGTTTACATACTGAGCCGGGTATTCGTACTAAAGAATATATTCCTTCCAAGGGATGTTGCTAGGTGTTCCGAAGAGATATACATTCTTGACCTTGACTGTGGAACTCTACGTTGAAGAAGGGGTACGTCCTCATCAAGCCCGAGCCCTACAGCGAAGCAGCGCTGAGCAGTTTTGACGTTCTATTGACTCATTAGTCAATGAATTTATTGATAACGGAGGTTTCTAGTCCAACTATAGCTCCTTTATCTCTTCGAGGCTTTTTCTAGACTTATAGCTGCCTAGTTATACCCGCAGTTTTATCCTGGTACCTGGGCTCATAGGTCTAGGTTTATATTTCTGTACTTAGCTTAACGGAATAGCTAGCCTCCGAAAGAAAGCTACCTATCAAGAATACTGGAGGATCTGATAAGAGTACTGGACAAAGTATAAGGCAAGGAGGGCGAGAGACTAATGTTTTATTTCTAATTTAAAATCATGCCATACCTAACAATCCCAAAGGACCCAGACTAAGACCACAGTCGCCTTAGCCCTTTTCTTTTTTCTTCCGAAACTTTAGGCTAGGCGTGTAATATTAAGCTATCCTCTCCTCTACAGACTTAAACACAGTAGGATATCTTGTTATAATGGTAGGAATAAGCTCTTTGCAGACCTCTCTTAAATACAGGTAGATGCCTACGTGAATACAGGTCGGCCCACCCCGTTTGCAGCTAACCGCAGCTTAATTAAGCTAAGGTAAGCAAGCTAAGCTTGCTTAATTAAAATTTTTAGCTTACCTTATATTTTTAATAAATTTTATTTTATATTTTATTAGTATTTTAAAAAAAGTAATTTTATAATACTTTAAATTATTTTATTATAACTTTAATTAATAATCCCCTTAATAATCCTATAATTAATATACTTATTAATTTATTAATACTAACACCTTTACCTTAGCTAGTTATTAAAAAAGTTTTTATAAATTAACTAGGCTTTTTTAATAAATAAAAATAAAATATTTTTTAAAAGTGTAATTAAGCCCAGGAAGCTAATTTTAATAATATAATATAAAAAATTTTAATTATTTTTAAAATATTTTTTAATTACTTTTTTAAAAGCTACTAGTATTAATACTAGTAATTACTAGTTAAATATATTTTATTTTAACTTATTATTTTTAATTTATTAATTACTTACTAAAGTATTTTATTATTAATTTTAATAATTATATATATATTATTTATATAAATAAAATAACAGGCGCATAGTCCTAAAAAAATATATATAATATATATAAATTTATATTTTTTAAAAATTAATTATTAATTACTTTAGTTTATATATTATAAAATAAAAGTTAAAAATATAAGGTAAATTTTTAACTAGTTTTTTAAGTAAATATATAATAAATTTTACTTTAATTACTTTAAGGTTAAGGTTTATAAGTATTTAAATTTAAAATTATAATATATTACCTATTAAAAGGTTAAAAAAAAATTTTAAATAAAATATATAATAAGTATAAAAAAATTATAATAAGTAAAGCTTTTTTAAAAGTTAAAGTTATATATAAGTAAGTTAAAATTAATTTTATTATTTTAAAATTACTTTACTAACTAAGCTTATTTAGCCTTTTTTAAGTAACTTAAAAATACTTTAAAAATAAAAAGGCATATTTACAGGCAATTTTTATTTATAAGCTTATTTTATAAAAGCATGTTATATTAATAAATAGCCTTAATTTTAAAGTATAAATTAATTTTTAATTATTTTAAAATATTTTTAATATATATTATTATTATATAGCATGCCTGTATAATAATTAAGATAATTTTAATAAGTATTTTATATTTAGCTTATTTAACTAGGCTTAAAATATTAATATTAAGCTATTTTAGGCTTGCTTTAAAAATTTAGCCCTAGTTAATTTTAAAAAATATAATATAATTAAGCTTATTACTAGTTAAAAAAAAAGTATAATATATAAAATTAAAACTAGTTTTTTAAAAATAAAACTAGTTTTATAAGTATCCTTTTTTAAAACCTTAAAATTACTTATTAATTACTTTATTTAGGCCAAAGCCACCCATAAGGGGAAAAAAATTTAAAAAAAAATTAAATATAAGGTTATATTTAATATTTTTATTTTTTTAAATTAATTAGCATGTTTTTTTATTATAATAATTTTTTAAAATATATATACCTATTCTCCCCCTTTACTAAATTAATTTTTAAAAGCTATTTTTAATAAGATTATTAAGCTTATTTATAAGATATAAAATCCTAACCTTATAATAGGTATATAAACTACTTTATAAGTAATTTTATTTAATATTAAACTACTTTTAAGTTATTTTTTAAAAAGTTTAGCCTTTTAAAATTTTTATTAATAATATAATAGCTAAATATTATTTTAAATTTATAATAGCTTTATAAACCAAGATTATTTTTTTATTATTATTATAAAAAAAAGGGCTTTACTTTACTTTAAAAATTAAAAAATAATTAATATATAATTTTAGCTTTTAATTAAGCTAAACTTTAAAATATTTAACTTATTTTATGCCTTAAAAATTAATTACTAATTACTTAAAAAATATTATTACTAGAGGCTTGTTATTTATAAAAATATTATTATAATTATTTATATATTTAATAAGTAAATTAAGCTTTTAGCCTTACTAAACTTTTTTAAAGTTAATAAATTTTATAAGCATGTTAAGGGTGCTTTTAATAAAATTATTTTTATTATATTCCTGCTAAAGTATGGTAAAAGTAAGTTAAAAAGTACTTTTTAAGTATTTTACTTACTTATATTTTACCTTTTTTTTAAAACTAATTATTAACTACTTTTAGTTTTTATATTACTACATGTTTGTATTAATATTAAGACTATAAATAAATATTTTTTACTTTTTAAAAAAATTTTTAGCCTTATTACTTTCGTGCAGGGGTTTTTTAACTAGTTTTTTTATTTTTATAATATTAGTATTAAGGGTATTATAATAAATATATATATATAAAGTAAATAACTAGTAAGCTTTATATAAAATTACTTTTATTTTAGGCTAAACTAGTTTTAGAATTAGGCTAATATTTTTTAAAAAAAAAGATTTTTATAGTTATATTTAAATATGGTAGTTAAAAAATATTTTTATTATATATTATATTTATTTTTTTTAAATTATTTAAAAGCTTTGCCCTTGGGAGGAGTATTATATATTTATTAGTTATTATATAAAAAGGTTGCTTATTATTAAGACTTTAAAAAATTATTCTAATTTTTATAAATTACTTTAAAGTATATTTTTTTATTTTTTAAAGTACTTTAAAATTAGTTTTAACTTTAATTAATATATAAAAATACCTTTATTTATAATTAAGCTAAATATAAAGCTTATTTAGTTATTACTACTAGTTTTAATTAAGCCTGTTTTTAAATTTTATTTAATTATTATAAATAAATTTAGGAAAATATTAATACTATTAAGTAAAGCTACTATAAGTTTTACTTTTTAAGTACTTAAAAGTTACTGCTTAATATAGTTATAAGGTTAAAATTACTTTATTTATTATAAAAACTACTTTTAATTATTAATTTTAAAATAGCTTTTAGTAGCTTAATTAGCGTAATATAAATTAATATTATATAAAAGTTTTTTATAAAACTTAGTATAAATACCGCATAAATAACATGCATAAATAATACCTTAAGTATATATAAAAAAATTATATATATATTAAAATTATTTTTAACCTTTTTAGTATACTAAAAATATAAGGCTTTTAATATAGCAAAGTAAAAAAAGCTATAAAAAGTAAAAAATAGTTTTAATAAAATTTTATTTAAGTTAAGTTTTTTTAAATTTATATATGCCAGGGGCTTTTAATCTTAATTATATTATATAAAAAAATAAAGTATTTTACTTTATATAAAAACTAGTTTTATATTAATAATACTTTAATATAATTTTAGCTATACCTTATAAATAACATGCTTTATATATTTTAATATACCCTAAAAACTACTTTACTTATAGAAAAAACTATTTTAATATTAATAATTTTTTAGGGCTAATTCTACTACACTTACTTATTAATATATTATATAAGTTAATAAAGCCTGCTTTACCCTAAGGCTGGATTTTTTTAATATTAATATTATTTTAGTACTTTTATTATTATATTTATTTAAAAACATGTATTAATATTATAAGTTTACTAATAAACTAGTTTTTAAGTACTTACTAATTATTTTAAATCTCCTAATATTTTTTAAGACTTTCCCACTACCACCTATATAAAAGGCTAAAAATTAAAAGTTAAAATAAAATTAAAATTAATTTTAAAAAGCTAGCCTAGTTAAAGTAATATTTTTATAATAAAATAGCTAGGGGGCCTGCTATATTTACTAAAGTTATTAAATATATTAAAAAAAGGTTAATAATTTTAGTAATTAAAACTAGTTTTAAATTAATTTAAATATTTTTAAAAGTACTTTAGTTACTTATTTAAAAATAAAATTTTATTATTTACTTGGCTTTAATAGCATGTTAATATAGTTTTATATTATAATAATTAAGTTTTAATATACTAGCTAGTT